CTATCCAAGAAGACTAGAAAGTCTAACCATTTGCAGATATTATTACAAAGGCAGCACTTTCTTCTCAGTTAATTAAAGACCCTGAGTGTTGGTCCGGCCGGATTTGAACTCACGACCTCCCACACAACAGTCCGGCACTCTGCCAATTGAGCTAACCGGGAGGCGGTTCTGTCAAGGTCTAAAGTTCTGCCAAGGTCTAAATCTATTTAGTGAGATGGACCTGTGTTGATTACCGTGCAAGATATGTCAGTTATTTGTTGATTATTATCTTAATTGTTCATTTGACATTCACTTGTATATCATGTTGTAGACAGACATCTCTAGTAAAGCAACCCAGAGTGTCAAATCAGATGTCATGAACTTATCCAGTAAAGATCACTCAATAAACTTTGAGTCTGTCACAGCAGAAGTTGCTCAGATGTTCTGTCAAAGTTATGCTCCTAGAATGAACATAAAGATGGTTGATATTGATCCTTCCAAAGATGAACACTTCCCTGGAATAGTGGATCTGAGGAAAGAGCTTGAAGTATGTTACAGAGTTCCACCCCTTAATTCACTTTCAGGAGTTACCAACAAGTAATTCCTCCGTGCAATATCAATACAAAATTTAATAGAAAGTTGATAAGAAAAAAGAAAAATTTAAGCTTAGGAAATGTTTTTATGTACTGTTGAATTCTCTGAGCTGAAATTAAATGAGATGTGTAGCAATCACCAATGAGAATTAGTGTTGAGATCTTAAGAGTGAAAGGTGTAAGAAACCACAATGGCAATTCCCATGACATGTTGAGACGCAAAACAAATTTTTGTTGGTTTGTGCCTTTTGCAAGTTATACTCTTTGGTTAGGGCTGTAAACCTGCAAAAAGTGAGATTATAAGAAGAGGTTATTGATTCTAGTCTGATCTTTTTAAGATATTCTTCTTCTTTTTTTCTGTTTCTTTATTTTAGGAGTGGAAGTGGATTTATGGGAAAACTCCAAGATTCTATGTAACTTTTTCAACCACTTTATCAGTGAGACACATAGTAAGTGTGGTCTTCACTTTGAAAGTAAATTTGTAACTTGAATGTGAGTACCTTGGTAAAGATAGCTCAGGTACACGTTGTTCATCTCTTTTATGATCTTACCTCCCCAATCAGCTGAGGAGTACATACGAAACAGACCAGGGGTTCACTTCTCAAAAGTCCCTGTTTCTTTAGCTGATACATAAAGGCTGATAGTTTCGAAAGAAACTGTTTGGGGCTGCATCAGTGGGAGTAACGAAATAATTTGGATATATCAACAAAGTTGAAATGGTAAATTGGCCACCGTAATGATTACAAAAGCTGACGTTTTGAGCGTTAGCCCTTCATCGGAGCGACGAAGGGCTAATGATCGAAATGTCAACTTCTGTGATCATTACGGTGGCCAATT